TTATTTTGAACGGGTACTCAAGTAACTACAATGATGATTGTGTATATTATTAGTATTATTATTGATGGTGGAGGTGTACCTAATTCTGGACAATGCCAGTTGATTTAAAAAAAAAAAATAGAGATATAAACCAGACCAGAAGAAATTAAACTCACCGATGACTCCAACCAGGAAAATCGTCGAATAAATGCTCATCACAATGATGAAGCGAGTTAGATTGATATCTGATAAAGGGTTGTGGAAATATTCTCTTAGTTTAAGAACATCACGAACTTCAGGCATTACAGTGTGACAGATTTTGAAACACTTGCAAAGTAGACTGTTCACTTCGTCTCGGGTATATTTGTAATCGAAGCTCCAATCCTGGTGCCAACTATTAATCGAGTGGCAGTCCTCCATAGAGTGCACCATCGCATTTTTATCCCTGTTTTGTATCTCGATATCAAACTTGCTGGATGAATCATCGCTTCTTGTTATCAATAGATCCACTGTTTGAGACGTAAGAATCCAATTCGAATCAAATCGATTTCCCGATTTTCTTTCCGATTCTCCAGAATGCATTCCTTGGTCTGTTGTATTGGGTTGCTCTGATTTCAGTTCAGTACTTGTGGCGAATTTGACTGTTAAAAGCAAAGAAAAGAGACACTTATCTCAAGCGATCACAAAACGTATTTCTTTTAAGAAACCATATAAGAAAAAAATGTTCCCAGTTACTGAATAATTAATAACTCTCTGCATTCATATTTCGTTTTTATTCTTAATATGCTGTCAAATGTCTTAAATAGAAAACAGGGACTTAAACATAACTAACTTTGGTATAGGTCATATTTGTAAAAAGGTCAATGAAGATACGGTCACTCTGAATAATTTGTGGGATCAGCACTTTAAACACTATTAATATAACTGTTTTATGTTCTAATATGTTTATTGATCCTGGTGTCATTTATATTAAGCTTTCTTGTTATTATTTATTTATTGTAGCAACATTATCCAATTGGCTTGTTTATCAATACCAAAGATTAAATTGGATTAGTGTATAATTCCTCGGTACCCAGGAAAAGGAAATAGTAACCAGGCCTTAAATACATTAGTTGTAACATGTCCCTTGATGTAACCTACGTAACGAGTTTGTGTAAGTGGATGACAGAACAGAGAGTTTTTTGAGGAAATTGACAAACATTGGAAGTTGTAGAAAATCATGATCACCAACATCCTGAAGGAACATTGCACAAAGAAGAATTCCTGTTGCCTTTTCCACAGCTTTGAATTCAAAGTTGTCCTTGCCTCATTGCCCATCACAAGGGCTAAAAAGATCAATCTCAGAATCAGAGAAAGAACAGATCAGTTAATGCCTTTCCTAAGGCGACGTGAAATGAACAGCCTCATTTGGAATTTGAATTTGACCTGCGCATTCCATTTTCCGCACCAATAACCATTACACCATCTTCAAAACCTATAGATAAATACATTAGCTATCTCAGTTTGAATGTCAAAGGCAAAGGTTTTCTGATAGCTATACATTTATTTAAGTACCAGGAATTATTTTAATAATAACAACAACAACAATAAAATATTATGATACTACAACACGCATGATCAATAAACAGCTGATGATGACCAAGATGTACCTGATCGAAACGTTCTGTCTATGATAACAATTATATCAACCAAGATGGGAACAATAATTCGAAATAATACAAATATAATGTTTTGTCTTGATGAATTAAGATGTGTAAAAAAACTTTTCTTGGTGAATTAAAATGAGTAAATATCCTGTTTAGTACTACAGATTTGCTTGTCAGTTCCTTGACCGTAACCAGTCGAGCAGTAGTGAAGGAGTATCATGGCCGAGTATTGAGAGGTTCTTTTATTATTTAAGAATGACGTATGAAGTAGGTAAGGCGACTTGGGAATCACATCTAGATACTTGAGAACAACCTCAATTGGAGACTATTTGAGCATAGTGGGTTACCTGACCTGAAGGTATTTTTTAACTAGGTTATGTGCTGCTTTTATTTAAACCTGTCACCATATCCTACGCATTTGACTCTGATGCACGTGCCTGGTATGCTCTTATTATACTGAGTCTTTTTGATCAGGCTTTTTTATTATCAGCGATGGGTAATAAAATACACTTAAATGCAAAATATTAAGAAGCTACGCCGTTCAGCTTTAATACTTTTCTCACTCTCTCCATATTTTTACTTGTAAGGCGTAAGTGCCACCCAGACGGCTTTTTCTGTAGAACCGCTGCTCTATGGAACAGACTGCTACGTGGATGCTTTTCCTGACGCTACAATATTAACATCTTCAAGTCAAGTATCAAGCGTTAACTTCTCCATATCCACATAATTCTCAATTTCTACTCTTGGATTTATATCACACGTTATTCATTAACCCTCTACCTTGAGTGATTCTTAAGCCTTGTATACTTACGACCATATCACGTTGAAACACCGGTTCTCGTCCGATTACCGAAGTTAAACACCATTGATCCTGCTCAGTACCTAGATGGGTGACCGCTTGGGAATACCAGGTAAAGCAAGCTTGGATGTGCGGGTGGTGTAATGGATAATGGCACGGAATTGAAAATTGGAGTGCCGAGTTCGTTTCAGTCGGGCTCGTTATATTTGCTTACGGGCAAATACCTTTGACAAAGGTATAAAATGGCCTCTTCTCAACTTGCCATGAGTTAATTATTAGGACTTGTAGCAGTAAATCATTACTATCTCCCAAAAGTCTTACAAATCTATAAATATTTTCTGGCTTTAAATAACCTGCAAAAAGTTAAGTCGTAAAAAACAAAGTAATCCATCAAACAATCTTGAGATTTGTATTAGGTGAATATTAGTAAAGAGAAATAATATCCAATCAACGCAATGGGAACATTTGCTCAGATATGAGGTTAAAACGATATATGTGTTTATCAAATTAAGAAATGATTATACAAATAAATATATGCATGTCGCTGAGTATCTAGTTATGCAGACACTCATTATCTGCTATGTATCGTTGATATTTTCCGTCTTTTTTGTTTATAATACAAATAAATGATATGATTACCGAAATACCCTAGATATATTTGCAATTCATTTGTTAATGTTTGTTATCGATTTGAGAGTTCTGTTCAGTATGCAGTAGGTGTACAAAAGCATGTGTTTAATATATATCTTTTGTTCAACTGAAAGTGTGTAGAATGAAATACAAACAAGCCTTTCTTCAATTTTGGCGATTCCTTCGCAAGCAACGGTTTTTAAAGTTTCTTTATATATTGTAATTTTCATTTTACAAAGTAGTGTTGTATTATTTTTTCCATAGCAAGTTTAAATTCTAAATTTGCATCGCGGGTTTAAATTTATAGTATTTAACCATCCTTTAAATGCAGTAACCTAACAATGTTAAACTGTTAAAAAATATACTTACTGAGTGGACTTTTTGTAAAGGCAGACATCATGGAGGACGTTAAGACACAGGTCCCCAAACAAATCCAATTGAAAAGGCAGTAATTTTTTCTTCTGAATAGTGAAAAGAAAATCGAAAACAATTTGTAATTTAATAAACTATTTAGAAAAATTTGTAATATTTTTAATGTCATGCCCCTTCAGGACGTAGGCGATCATGACTCTCCACAGATTAATTTTATTTATTATCTGTCAATTGCAATGATTTCTTGGAAACGATAGTGGGGCGGTTTCTAATTGCCTTCTCCACATTTTTGAATTCAAAGTTTTCCTTCTCCGAGACAAGAAAGACTTTGCACTAATGCCATTGGAAAAGGCATGAATCAATTTTATATGCGTTCCTTATCATATGTACGAAGTGAACACAACAGACTAGTCCAGAATTTGAAATTTCCATCCTGATTACAGTTTTCACGCCGACAACAATTACACTACTTGCTCATATTGCGTATTATTATGAGGTTCTATAACGCTGACATATTTTCAGTAGTCATTTCCTTTACAAATCACTATTTTTGTAAAGTGGAAAATGAAAATAATGGTTACAAAATCTTTTAAAAATAAGTGCTTCATCTCATCTGGTGCCAGTAGAGCAAAGTGAACGGTAATAGAGAAGTAGAAGGAAGAACTTTGTTTGGGACAGTAATAGTCAGAAAATGTTCTCCTTGAGAAAATACCAGGGACCCAGCTTAAAAATACCCACAAAAGTAGCTTAAGAGACAAAAGCCAGTGGTTTTCACCCTAGCTACTTCTGTTCTTTTTTTTAATGAAACAAAAGAGAAAAACAAAAAAAAAACAAAAAAAACGCGAGCAATTTTTATCTTTTACTTTGTTGTCTCTATTGAACTGTAAAAATATTCGCTATTCTGCACGACCATAATTATATGACGATAATATTCTTACACTCAGCAAAATGTTATTGAACAAGGTTATGAACATATTATAGTGCCTACCATCTCAAGTATAGGACAGTAGACATTAATGACTTATAGATATATAATTATTACCAAATCTTTTGGTTGGCATTAATGGGTTAATTAATGCACCATTTATAAATAAATATGTAATCAATTGTCTTAAATAAGGGTATCGAAATTTTGAAGAAAACATTGCCGGCAAGTATATCCCCACCTGTAAAAACTTTTCAGTTGGGTGTCAAGTGGATGTCATATATTATTTTATGGAACTCGAAAAACTTCATATACACACACGGTATAAATAAAGTAACTACCTCATTTGAAATCAAAAAATGAAAAAAAAAAACAAAAACACAAAATGCAATAGCATAAGACATTTTTTTTATTAACAAATCAAGCATTAAGGAGTAGTGAAACATCTAGAGAAACAACCGTCAGTTAATGCCAAAGGTAACTGTCTGGCCGGGGTTGTCATCAATAAACGTTTATAAGCCTATCTTTATTTAGGGAAATATTACAGGTGAAAACTACTTAAACATGTTGGAAATTTGCTTTTTCTACAACTCTCTAGAATGGCTTTTCAAACAACGATCTTTCAGGACTGTACACACACGTATCGTCAGAGAAATTTCAGAGAGAAAACTAGCAAATCTAAATAAGTGGTAATCCAAAGGTGAAATATCAGGTGAATACGACGGTTATAGTAGATCACTACCAAGCTGTACCAATTTCTGCAGAATCTGCAAAGAGGCGTGAGATCTCTCGTTGTCTTAGTAGGAGATGGCGCCTCTCCGATTGGCTAATTCCGGACACTTTTCAACAATTGTTGCTTTTATTGGTATAACTGGGAACACTATTTATCTTAATTCAACGTCTGATTTTGCAGAATGACCTCGTAATAGACAAAGCACTTTCAGCATCACCTTATTTGAATGCTCATCGGCTTTTGGAATAGTTAACGATGGCTAATATCATTTTTCCCATGATTCTTTTCGTTTCACATTCTTGTAAATAGTCCATTTTTCATCGTCTATGGCCGTTCTTTTGAAAAATGTGTCGTTTCTGTTGCGTTTGAGCATAGAATCGCAAGTCGAAATGCGCGCCAATAAAGTTTTTTTTTTTTTCGTTAAATCGTGAGGCACATAAACATCGAAGTGAATTAAGTATCCAAGTGTTTCCAAAGGCCTTACAACGCCTTTAAGCAATATGTGTTGTATTACTGTGATGTTCCGTATCGTGTAACCTGGACTATTCGTAATCAGCATCAATGGCTGCAGGCTTCCCGGGGCGTATTCGGTCTTCCAGGAATCAAAATTTCTACATCTGAATCTAGCAAACCACTTAGAAAACGTACTCTCAGCTATGGCACAATCCGCAAAAACGGCACATATATTTCTGGTTGTTTGTACATTATTTCTTTCGTTTCCACAATTAAATAGGCATCAAATGACGAAAATTCATATAATTTTCATTCATTTTCACTTCTAACGTAAAAACATTGAAAATTCACAAACTACACACGAATCGTATAGAAAGACATTATAACACCACTTTAAATTTGTATACGTATTCAGTTAATTTGAATACAAAATCACGTACAAACGCCACCTACTGGTACACACACACACACACACACACACACATATATATATATATATATATATATATATATATATATATATATATATATATATGTATATATATATATGTCAAATAAACAATATCCTGGCCTCAGGTTGTTAAATAAGTAGAAAAAGTACATAATAAATAATACGCCAATATTACTTACCTTCCCCACAAAAGAAGCTAATGTATGAATAAGTGAGACCAAATAAACTGGTAGATATTCTATTCTGCCCAAATAACCATAACTAGTTTATTACAGTCTGATGAACATTTCTCTATTTGCTATCGTAAATTTAATGTCCAGACCATTAATGAGTAAAATTTTAGTGCACCGATATGCCATTTTATGAATTCAAGTAATTCAGTAGCCGACCTTTTGCTGGCACATTGTTCTCTCTCAATGTCATATTGCATGTCATTATCAACAATTTCTTCTCGTACGATTCTTGTATTAATGGTATATTTTTGAGTCCTTTGAAATCAGTTTCATCATTATTTGTGTAGCGGCTGTTCAGTTTTCTTTTTCTTGTATTTCCCATAGTCTTTGCCAGTTGCAGCAATATTAATATTCACTAGTAGTATCCATGAATATTTCACGGTTTTACTATTTGAATTTTCTGATGAATCATGATTCTTCAATTAATGATTGAGTTTCTTGCGAGTTCGACGACTATAAAATACCCGCGGAAATTCCCCTATTGCATCGTTAAATATTTGAACTTAACAACTTTAACAAGATATTACAATAACAATCATAAGTATGAATGCAGGCAATTATTTAAAGAAGTAAGAGGATACAAATGAAATATTTAAAATCGAAAAGTTTTCTATTTCATTGAAGCAGGCGTTGAACATGCGAGTATTATCACCTTTTCTATTTTCCCTTTCTTTATTTTACTTTTACTGAAACCAAACATCATCTCTTTCATCGTGATCAATACGGAATAGTCCATTATTTATGTGGTACTGACAGGGTGTAACATGCGTACTAACTAACAAACGAAGTAACAAGCAGAATTATATGATGACAAGTCGTTTTTGTGAAGTTATAGATTTCTGTGCTTGTCTGTTAGTCTTGTTTACATTGATATTTTTCATCTTGTGGACCGTGTTACGTTGTGATTTTTCTGTGATACAAAAACAAAGCAGAATACGAGGAAAGGAGACGGAATAACATTTAATATTGATTTATATTTCCCGGCTAAGGATGAAGGAATTGGCGGTAATTCTCTCATGAGAACGTTGGTTAAAAAACTGTTTGAATTGATTTCTGTTTGCAGCGAATCAAATATTTGCTCAGGACTCTTGTGCTTTTCTTATCTCAGAGTGTACATATGGCGTTTCTATTTCTTTAATCTGTCACACAAGGATAGTTCAATATTCATTCCTCCATTCCATAGTATCGCCACGTCATCTGCGGCTTGGAGACAAAAATGTGCCATACTAACTTCATAGCGGACGGGTGAATGTCTGAAATTAATGATTCTCTCTCTCTGTGAGGCCACTCTTGATTATCTGTCCATGTAAATTAGTGAAAATG